TAAAACCCAACCGATCTGCAACCAAATAGATATGAACACTCTTTATTATTCTGCTTACATTTCATTCCCTGAAAAAACACAAAAAGCAGACGAAATTCTCTTTTGGAAGGCACCCAAAAGTCTCCTACATTGTTGTTTCTTTCGCCGAGTTTCGTTGGTTACAACAGCATGAAGTAAATTTATGGCAAATGATGTGGCTACTGCCCTGCTTCTTGGGCTGCTCTTCTGCTCTTCTGCTGTTCTGCTGCTGCCACTGGCTTTGGTGGGTGTCTTAAAGTAAAATATTGACAGTTTGAGTCGAAGCAAGTGTAGCATAAACTGCTGTCAGGGCCACAAAAAGTTTCCTACACCATTTTTTGGCTACGACTAAGGACGAGAGTGGTCCTTGGGAGGTGGGGAGAAGCAACAAGCAAAAGCAGAAAGTAATTGCTTTCTCCCCCACTCATCGTGACTTTGCTGCTGCGGTTCTTTTCAGCTTTATAACTCCACGAAGCCAACAATTGTTGGCTATATTTTATTTCAAAATGTAAGTTTCTATTCCATGTTTTAAAGCTGTGGAATTTTTGGTGAATTTTTTACTAGTTTTTTGGGGGCCAAATAGAGAAATCAATACGGGCTTTGGGCCACACACATTTTCTAGGCCATCCTTTGGGGCGTTCATCATTACCAATTCCTGTTTAATTAGTTAGTTGATTCATTTACATTTGCTCTACTATGCTCCGCTCTGCATATCCCTGAATATCGAATCATTTTAGCCCCAAGTTTGCATTGTTTATTAAATTGCCAGATGACAATTTATGCATCTGTTTATAGGGGGGATTGTTGGTACATCGTACTGTTTGTCTCCTCAGGATCATAGCATTTTGTGAGGTGACACAATATTTGTGCGTCTGTGTGTGTGACGCTCCATTTGATTTAATGCTGGCCTAAGGGAATATTTGCTCCACTTGCCATAATCATGGAAAATAATTGTGAAAATGTTGCACAGGAAATTGCAGTTTTGATAATTGAATGATTCTGTATATATTTACGAGATGGAAATTGTTTCAAAAAGGTTTGCACAAAGATTTTAGATTAATAGGGGTTTGGTTTATTTCTAAACCATTCTACAATATATCCTTTATTCTACTTCCTAATTAATTCCCCTTAAAAACTGTTTGCGACATCTCCTTGTGTCGCTTAAAGCTTCATTCCTTTGGCCTTAGTCAATATATCTAACTGGCTCTCTGGCTGGAAAAAATCTCATTATTAATTTTAGTTTTTTTTATTCCCCCTCCCCCTGCCAACCCCACTCAATGCGTCTCTGGTGTGACTGGGTGCCGCTTATCAACTTTTGTCCACTTGTATTTCCTACTCTCTTTCAGGATGCAGTTCTTCTAGTCCCTGGGTTTCTGGGACAGAGAGCATATTCATTTTTCTTTTCCAAGCTTTTCTTTTTTATTTATTTTCCAGCAAAGGATTTATGTTTTTGGGTTATGGCGCGCGGGAGCTTGTCTTTGATGGAGACCCCGACTTGGTGTCCTCGTCTGGCGCGATTTTCTTTGCTCGTTTTTCCCCCATTTCTCTTTTATAGTTTTCATTTGTTAGTTCTGATAACACACTATCCTCCCCCCTCACACAGAGCACATGACTGAATCGCTTTTTCTTTAAAGCCTTTTCAAATTCTATTCTGCCAGGGAACTAATGAAAAAAGGCAAAAATATGGGGAACTGACTCTGCCTCTGTGTCTTTTAGCCTTGCGGCTGTGGGCTGAGCACTTGGTTTGTCTTTGAATGCCTAATTAAGTTTTAGAACTGTTTTAAAAAGGATTAAATAGTACTGGAACTCAAGGCAAATTCGCGAAGGCAAGTTTGTGCTTTTTTAAGAAGTTAATGTTTAATAGCCAGAGAAAAAACGATGAGAATCGAATAATTTTGGGTGTAAAAAAATAAACCAATATTTTGTTTTAAATATTAAGTTTAAAATATTGTTTCACTCAAATTTTGATACAAATAGGAAAATATTAAAAAAAAATAATTATAAAATATCAATAAATCAATATCAATCAAAAAATAAAAAATTTTTTACTATCATAATAGTAGTAAACAGAATTTAAATATAAATATTTAATAAATAAAATAAATATATTTCATATATATATTAAATAAATATATTTCGTATATAAATTAAATATTTTTCTTTAAAATTAAATAACATATATTTATTTATATTTGTTTTAAAATGTTTTATATTTAGATTAAATATTGGCTTTATTAAAATACTTTTTTAATAAATTCAAATAAACAAATTCAATCAAAGTGAATTCTATTTAATTTCATTGTTTTTATTTACAAATTAAATTTTTAATTTAAATATGGGGAGTGTTGCTTTTTGCCATTTATTTATATTTTATTTTGTAAAGCAAAATAAATACTGGCAAAAGTAATTAAAATTTAAGTGGAGATCGTGGCCTGCTTTAAAGTACAAAGATTTCTGTTGCGGCCAGCAATTATTTTAGCCAGACCCCGCCACAAGTGGGAATTTCAAGTGAATTTTCTTGGCAGCCTCCTTTTTTGATAATTACGCACAAAAAAGAATTCTTTCTTTCCGTTGCTGCTGCTGCTGCTAGGAGAACGACTTCCTGCGTGAGCAAACATCCTGGAAAACATTTAACAAGCTCTTCTAAACCCACCTCCTACACCCCCGCCTCCCACCACCCACCACCCATCGCCCATCGCTTTTCTGTGGCTCAGACTACTTTGATGGCTACAGAGACTGTGTGTGTGTGTGTGCAATAATATAATGCCATGTAATAAGGAAGTAACATTTACAAAAGCCAAATGCTTGCAACATCCAACACAAACATTGCATTCGTGTGAGTGTATCTGTGTGAGTGCTGCTTGTGTGGGAGTGGAGTATGTTTATGGGAAAGCGGTCGACGCGTGTAAATTGCAAAGAGTAAAATCTTGTAAAAGGCAAATTCCTTTCAAATGCAGCAGCAGCAACAGCAGCCAAAGGAGAACAGGAAACACAGTAGTGGCAGAGGAGGCGAAGGCGAAGGCGGAGGATAGCAGGCGGCATGGCAGAACTACTTAAAGTTGCAAGGCACAAATAGGGATAAATGGGTAGATATATTTGTATGTACATATATATATGATAAAATGTACACAGCGTTGCATTCAAGTTGACTTTCAGTAGTGTGTCATGCAACAAAAATCAAGAATGGGGGCGAAAGAACCAACCTCCTCCCACACGCATGGCTAGACAATGGGTTTTTACCTCTCTCCATAAAGAAAAGGATGGATTCTAAGCAAACTTTGTAGTTTTTTGTGTGTGTGTGTGTGTGTGTGTAGAACCTGCAACAACAATGGACATTTTTGTTGCAAGCTGCAAATTTGATTGAAGATATTTTGCAGGTGTTGAGTACCAGAGAGGATATGGCAGTGGTTACAGATAGAGAGAAGTGGCTAAGGAGGAGTAACCAGTAGCTGCCCAGGATGTGATGTGTGGTCAACTTGTTTGCTCCTTCTGTGCCCCAGAGTCCAGGCTTAGTCTTCCTTCTGCTGCTGGCTGTGGAGGACAGCTTCTCCAGGGGTTAGCCACAAAGTATTGCAATCTACATTCATTGCAAAATCCTTCAGATAATCCACAAATAATCTTGAGTTGAGAGATGAGAGAGCACGCCACTCCTGCTTGGCCAGAGCTCGCTCTTTACTTCGATTGGCCGCATGCTTGAGAGCTAATACGAACAGGAATTTTTCAATTAATTTTTGTACTAGAAAATTTCTTTTTGAGTGGCTTACGGAGAAAGAAAATATTATATTAAGACTATACAATGGCCAGGATGTTAGATGAGGCAACAGCAAACCGTCCTATGGCGGAGTTCTTTCTTGATGGGCGCCCATTCTTCGTCTCTGATTGCGGCCCTGCGGCCTACTCAACCTCGTCTGTTCGTCAATGCTGAGTCGGTCCCTAGAATTCAAAAACAAGAGCAGTCCATTTCAGTCTTCACAAGTAAAAGTCTTGGGCGACGCGCGGTCCCAAGAAACCAACAACAAAATACGCGACACTGAATAACGGGCCGCTGTGGGCTTGGACGAGGCGCAAAAAAGAATAACTTTTCGGTCCCTCAACGTAGTACAGTTCTTGGCACACCAAAAATACTATTTAAAATTTATTTCTTATTTTTAGTCAATAATTTATGCCTTATAATTTTATTTCATTAAACCCCACCATATATTGTGTTTAAATTGTTACATTTTCTTTTTCACCAAAAAATTTATATTAAATATTTTAAATTTTTGCATTTCCTGTGAATTTTCTGCATTTGAATGTCCCCCAATTATTTTGACCACAAAGCACAGGACCTCCCGAGTGCTTGGGGGCGTTTGTGTGTGTGTGTGTGTTTGAGGGCCAGCAAACACTGGACACAATGAGAGAAGCAAGCACTCCACCTACACCGCCGCCCCCGAGGCGCATTGGCTTTCCGGCTAGCCCTTTTCTAGCTCAAGTGTTTGCATTTTACAACCACACACACACGGACAGACAGACAGACAGACAGACGGATAGACGTACGTGTACCCTGCACAGACACTCCACAAAGCACTCACACAGAAGCAGCAAAAGCAGCAGCACAGAGTGAATGAACATGGGTGTAAGTGTCCTGAGAGTGAGTGCCCTGAACTGGGTCCCCTCTTCTTTTGTTGTTGTTGTTGTTGTCTGTGCGTTGGCATTTTTGTAGCAGAAAGCGAGGAAAGAGCTTAAGTGAAATGTAGCTGACCTAAGCTACAAAATAAACATAAAGAATATCTGAGAGACAGAGAGAGAACCATCATGCCTTCCACCTAGAGCGAATGAGATGCTGCATGCTTGTATGATTGTCAAGGTCGAATCACACGCTCATACATTGTTTTTTTTTTTTTTGTTTTTTTGCTACCTTAACTAATAAATATTCATTGAAATTTACTAATCCAATGAAATTTGCCTCCCAACTTCTCCCTCAGGCAAGTTCTAAGCAATAAATACCAAAACAATAAAACAGAAACCGAAATCGAAACCGAAACAAAAGCGATATAAAAGCAAATTTTGAACCGGAACACAGCGAGTACCAGAAGCGCAAACACAGCGAGTGTCAGCAGCAGAAAAAGAACGAGTACCAAAAGCTGAAAACAGAACGAGAACGAGTTTCTTTATGCAGGAACAATCGTAAGGATATACCCGAACAAGCTAGAGAGAGAGAGAAACTAAAAGATCGCTCGAAACAATGCTGAGTTCTTTAGATGCTTTGGCTGGTAAGATAGCCACAGCCACGCCTGGAACGGGTGCCGTCACGGCGCCCAGTGCTGGTGGTAACAGCAAACCGGCCCAGAGTCTGCACCATCACCATCATCATCTGGACTACGACTATTCGGCGGTGGAGATTGAACCGCCCGCCGAGCAGCTGGCCAATTCGCCGCGTAACGAGCGAGAGAGACTGCAACAGGCGCAGCAGTCGTACGAGCAGCAGGCCCAGGCCGAGCTGGAGTTTGGCCTGGCCGAGGTCACCAGTTGCCACAAGCTAACCCAATTGAAGAGCGCTACCAGTCTGCATCACCCGCATTCGCAGGGCCAGCAGCAGCAGCAGCCGCAACAGCAGCAACAGCAACAGCAACAACAGCATACTGCCAGCAATCAAGGCGGCAGGACAATGACACAGAGTCGTCATCCGCATCATCATCATTTGAACCATCATCATGCGCCGCACCATCATCCCTATCAGCGGCATCGCCCCAGCTCGCCGCCACAGACGCCCTATCAGCAGCAATTGTCCCAGCTAGTGGCCCTGCAAGATCATCATGAGCTGCTCCAGTCGCAGCAGGAGCTCTTCCACAAGCAGCTGGCCAATATGCAGGAGTACCAGCGAGAGCGAGAGCGCGAAAGGGAGCGAGAACGTGATAGGGAACACAGGGAACGGAACAATTTCATCGATAACAGCGATTACGATTCCCAGCATGAGTTCAAAATTTGCCTGAGGGATAGGTGAGTGCGAGTGAGATAACACAAACACACCCACACACTCACACCAAACAGTTTCCCCACTAAAAAGTCATTGCATTTATGTGTCATGTGTCTAACTGTACCAAAAAAAACGTGCCTGTAACTGTACTAACTATACCGTTCACTATCTTGTGTTTCATTTATCATTTAATTTATAAACTAGGGGGCAAGACCCCTGCACACTCGCTTCTTTTGTGCGTCAACCGCTGTTACAATAGAGAGATGTATTTATTGGAACCCTATTGTTACGGTAGCTCTGGTGAACGCACATGATCAGTGATAATGATCAGCAGAAAAGGAGCGTTAAAATAGTACGATACATGATACATTGGCTTTTATCGATAGCTGGCAAATCGATTGTGAGTCAAGACAAAAAAGAGGTCAAAAATTTCAAGAAAAATGTATCAAATGCCTTTACCAGAACTGCAAAAACATGATAACTGATACCTAACACATGATCACTGATACATTGTTCTAGTGAATTCGATGTATCGATGGCACCACCGATACTTTAACAGCTTCACTTATAAACCAAGCAAAATGTGAACATTCTAATTTGCATTACCATTTTTTTTGTGGCATCGCATGTTTGCATGCAGGAAAATTATGGTCTTTACAAAAAAACCAACTTAATTCATTAGCTAAAATCAACCAGAAGCCGTATAATTATGGAAATTTAAGGCATTTATAAAACAACTAGTCCATTACCAGACAGGGAAAACCCATTAACAAATCTGGAGTGGGCCTAAACCATTGAAAGTTAAGTGAAAATGGAGAGCGAGAGCCTTAACATGAGGGTAGAATATGCTTTTTGAAGCCCATGCCGTGCCGCGCCATTCTCTAGGACACTTCAATTCCTTGGCTCAATCGCTCTGCTGTCATGTTTTGTGGCATCTTCAGTGTGAACACACGTCAGGAAATCAAAATCCTTAGAGAACACGCACCTTAGTAACGCCTCGAAGCGAGGCATGCAACAGCAAACAAAAATAATATAAAACATTTGTAATTTTTGGCCAAACGAAAATGTCACGTGACAAATTGCTGCTGGGTAAATTGTGCTCAAGAAAAGCAAAGAAAAAAGGGGAATTTCCCCCAAAAACCAGATGCTTGACACGAACACCCGTCCAACGACACACACACGACAGGCGGCCTTATTATACATATCTCTGCTGGGTCTTAACTAATTTAATGTGTAATATCATTTGACATATTGTTCCATGTTCCCCTGGCCTTTTGATTTGTGGCTATGAGAAGGGTTTCCTGTTATTCACGATATTCTTAGGCCATTTCTAACGAACTTCTGGCTCCTGGCTCCTTCACACATGCAAATAGTGTGGCGCCTACACGAGGCGCCCTTTTGACACTACCTACACCATTTCTGGTGTTTCCCAACTTATTTTTGTGCCACATGAAAGCTAAGAAAGTTTTAACCACTAGTGATGGGTGCGGAATAAATAAATAAATTGAAGGAAGATATTTTCTGAATAAGCAGACACATAGAGAATGGTCATATCTATTAGATTGCCAAATCTCATTACTATCGGAGCATTATTATAACCAGAATGAGGAAAAAACATATGTAGCTTGGCTCTTTGAACACCTGGCTTTCGAACAAAATGCATGCTAGAGCCACCCAGTTTTCAGTGCCTACTTTTAGGCTGCAAGGATAGCTTTTTGGATAGCTTCGGTGATACTGTTCCAGCCTTTGATCTCACGATCCAATCACGCGTTCATCTCTGGCCCACATTTACGCGCTCGATAAAAAGCCCAAGAAAAGAAAACATGGCATAAATATTTTATTACCCACTGTGTGCGACATTTTATGTTTATTGTTTTGCCAATTTACACAACTGTTGTTGCCTATTTTTGGGTGGCCCCCTTTCGTTGCCGACATTTTATGGCTATTTTAAAAAGCTTTGACATTTGCGTGCCTCAAATTGCGGGCAAAAGGCAAATACCAAATCGTTCATTGACTTTAAAGCGCGTGCTGCAATGCAATTAGCTTCAGGGCGGGGGAAATGATGTTGCATTTGCATGTGGCGGCGGTGGCATACACCGAAATGTGGCAATTAGTGTGGCTCGGGGGAGGCACAGACGGACCTCTGCGCCCGCCGACTGATGAGCCAGAGATATAATACAAATCGTCATCAGGGGGCGCTGCGCATATAATAATTACGTAAATCCCATGCCCAAAGGCGGAATTATCTTTGATGAAAGTGAAATGCAAAAATTACCCGGTTTTTCTAATGCGCGACAAAATAAACAACAAAATATACCAAAACAAAGCAATAAAACAAACCGCTGGCAACGAACGTTAAACAAATAGAAATTGAAAACAAAACTCTGAGAGGTTTTTCATTTATTAAAGTGGCCCTGAGTGGGGGCGTCTCCGTGGACTGTGGGATGAGATGTGCTTTGGACACGTAAGCAAATATCCCTGCATGTTTGAGCAGGGCGGAAGAAGCCTTTGTCTGTGGATGAATGTGTGTACAGTGACAATGGAATGCGTGAGCAAAAGGAAACCGAATGCAGAATGGGAAATGCATGCCTGGATTGGAGGCTACATGAATGTTAAAAATACCCTAGATGTGGATATGATGTGGATTTAAAAGCAGAGAAAAATGGAGCAATTATATTAAGAAGGTTTTTGAACGATAGGAGTCCCCCAATCTCTTCCAGTGTAGCTTAGCAGTTAAGGGTGGGTTTTCAAGTCTGGCTTGAACTTCCCCTCACTCCCATTATCCCAATCTCTCCTCCAGGGAGATTTAACCATCCTTAGATAGCGCTATTGACTTTTTCCGATGGATGTTGGATTAAGGTGATTTACTTGTTATGTGGTGTCTTTACCGCATCTGCTCTCTTTCGAGGACCATCCGTGCTAGCGTACAGAACGTTAAACGTTTGCTATCTCTTTCTAGCCCATGTCTCTCTGAGACGAACGAGTATGTGGATGGTCCTCACCACAGCGGACGACACACATCACGGCCGCAAGGACACGTGATATCTGTTCGCACTGATTATCGTCTTGATACACTTTCTATAGTCTTTCCAACAAATGAAAGAGCGGCTCAAGGCTCAGGCAAAGGTACTCTCTGTTCTGTTCTGTTCTGCTCTGTTCTCTTCTCTTTTTTCTCATTCTTTGTGTCCCCCAAAGGGGTAGGCAGCAAGAACCAGAAAGCAATTGAAAAGAATGCTGCCCTGTTCTGCTGGCTGTGCTTTAGAAAAACAACAACAAGAGCACACCTACACATCAGCTGTGCGCGCTCTCTTCCACACTCTTCGCTTTCAGTGTATGTGTGTGTGTGTGGGTCTATTTATAACCCAAACCCAGAGTTGCATTTCACTTTACAGCATTCCCTGCGTTTGTTTCATTTCAATTGTTGCTGCTTCTGCTTTTTGCTGTTGTTTTTGCCCTTTTCTTTTTTGCTCTTGCTGTTGTTTGCTCAGCCTGCCCCATGCCCCATGCAACATGCTCTTGCCTAGCCAGTATCCTGGCCTGGTCTGCTCTGGTGCTCCGCGGTGGGATCCGTGTGACCCAGCCAAAGCTAATTTAGCTGCAGGCTCAGGGCCAGTCAAGGATAACCCACTGAGTGGAGCCCACCTCGCGACGTTTTTGTTGTTGTTTATTTTCTGTGGCTTCCCTTAGTTCCACGCCACTCGACGAATGAAAGAGAGGGTATATTAGGTTCGTTGCCATTCAGGTAACAGGCAGATGATGGTAGCGCTTTTGAGTCTATCTTCTGGGCTTTGTGCGCCGTCTCCAAGCGATGCATGATCTGCTCCAGCTGGCTCTTCACCTGGACAATGGTTTCCTCGGGGTGCTTCTCGATGGTCTCCAGCTTGTTGCTTTTGAAGGTTCGTTGAACAGGAACTCGTTCTTCTCCATCAGCTCGTAACACTCGCTTTCTTCCTTAGCTTTTCTACAAAGACACTGTATTTGGCTGTTGGTTCTTCAGACCGTAATTCAAGCCTCGCTTCTGGCTTCTGGGGACCGACTTAGCTGCAATATCTGGGTCATGTATAGGCCTTAATATCCCATACAACAATCCCAGTAGTGGGTATCTTGAAGGTCGTTTCACCCCGCTCCTAGTTGTGTTTTGTTTTAGTGAAATCGAAATCAGACCAGCACCATATGCATTCATTCATCTCTCTCTCTCTCTCTGGGTCTCTGTCTGTATAAGTAAGGCAGCGGCAGGGTTGAGAGCCACTGGCGTTTGTCCCGTGTTCCGTGTTTGCCATTTGCATAGTTGCAACTCTGAGCCGGGCTCAGGGCAAACTGGGCATCTGTATTAGCCATAGCCATGGCCATGGCAATGTGTGTGTCTGCATACTTTTCACCTTTATTGTTTTATAAAAATTTTATTTTCCAAAAAAATATGTTAAATATTTGTGCAGAGTAGGAGTTTTGGGAGTTTGGGAGTGGGCGTGTGGCAGTGGGAGCGGCATCTGGTCTCTCATTGTTGATGCCCGTTTGGCGAAAATTTGTTATTTAAATAAAAAATAGAAAGTTGCATATAAATTACATGCATGAGTTATGTTTTGCCCGTTGGCTGCAGTTTCCGGGGGCTAGAGAGAGAATTCTCTGAAAATATTTGCGCATACATAAAATTGTTTCATTTGGTATCTGTATCTGGAATGTTTGAAGATTCCAGGGCAGCTAACGAATCTCAACGTATTAAATTTGCTGGCATTCCTTTTTCGTAAAATATTTGGAAATATATTAAATTGCTTTGGGGGCAATTACCTGTAATAAATAATACAACTAAAAATACGAAATATGCCAAATTTGTATTTTTAATTTACGGGCAGCGAGAATGTTGCTATTTGTTTACAGCTTGTTGAATTTAAACACTAAAAATAATAAAGAAAATTTGATTGTTGAAATTCATGTTCGGATTTTTTAAAATATTTTTTTCTTGGATTTTTACACCTGGTACTCAAAGAGCTTCGGGGTATATTATGTTCGAAAAACAGGTTGTCTG